ATATATATATATATATTATGTAGGTATTTTTCTAACAATTATCCCTACCTCTCCACCATAAGATGTTTGCTTACTAACAATACGTAATAATAATATACAGGCAAGCTGTTTCTATGAGGAGGCAATTAGCTAGCAGCAGTCTGCAGTTCGCCTATACAGAGTCTATGAATATTCTGCTGCTGCTGCTGCATCTGTTGCTGCTGCTGCTGCTGTTGCTGTTGTTGCTGCTGTTGGCCCCACAGCAGCGCATATATGCTAATATAGCAACAGAAAAGGTAAATTAATTTATATTTAATTAAATATATTTATTTTTATTTATTTTTTTTATTTTTTTTTAAATGTAATTAATAATAAAATAAAGAACGGGTCCCTATCTATACCAGGGAAGCGTGGGGCCCCGTCGAGTACCGGAGGCCCCTGGGGGCCCCCCATCGTACCCAGAAGAAAAGAAGAGGGTTTTCTTCTCAACATTTTTTCTTTATATATATTTTATGATTAGGGTTTAGGGTTTAGGGTTTATGACTGTCAATAAGCCGCTTAATTCCGTGGCGCGGCGGCACAGTGCTAAGGGTTTAGCCAACCCTACTATATTAGGGTTTAGGGTTTAGGGTTTAGGGTTTAGGCTGCCATGGGGGAGCTCGTGCCTGTACGTAAGAAGCAACCTGGGGGCCCCCTTAAGGAGGGGATACAGAAGAAGGTACGTAAGAGTGTTGGAGAAGATAATGGTGAGGGGCCCCCCTCCAAGGCCCCTAAAGGGGCCCCCAAGGCCTCTAAGGGGGCCCCCAAGGGGCCCCGATCAGCAACACGTCATAGCAGCAGCTTTAAGGAAATAGGGTGTGTACCCCCTGTTGTTGTGGAGGCCCTAAGGGTACTAGGGTTTACTCACTGTACCCCTGTACAGGAGGCAACACTGCCGCTGCTGCTGCCGCAGCTGCAGCAGCAGCAACAGCAACAGCAACAGCAGCAGAAAGTACCGCAGTTAATTACAGGAGGGGCCCTTGCTGCTTCAAGGAGGTTTGGTGATGTTGCTGTTGAGGCCCCCACAGGCAGCGGCAAGACATTAGCTTTCCTTATTCCTGCTGTATCTAGATTGCTGCAGCAGTTGCTGCAGCAGCAGCAGCAGCGGCAGCGGCAGCAGCAGCAACAGCAGCACGAGGATGGGGAAGAGCAGCAGGTAGAAATTGCAGAGCCTGTTGACTTACGTGCTGCATTGACAGAGACACCTGAAGAAGAAGCAGCTGCTGCTACCTCCGATGCAGCAGCAGCAGCAGCAGCAGCAGTAGCAGATGCAGAGTTTTGCTGCAGAATAGGAGTCCTTATTATAGCGCCTACCCGTGAACTTTGCTGCCAAACGCATGCAGTGCTGCAGCAGCTGCTATCCTCCCTTGAGCGTGTCTTGCTGCCACCAGACGACCCAGACAGCAGCAGCAGCAGCAGCAGCAACAGCAACAGCAGCAGCAGCAGCAGCAGCAGCTTCGTGCTGCGTGCCCTCTGCCTAACAGGAGGAGGGAGGCCTATAGAGGCAGATGTTGCTGTTATTAAGAAGAAGAGCAGCAGCAAATCCCTCTTTATTCTCTCCGCTACACTAGGAAGACTACTTACTCTATTAGAGCTACCCCAGCAGCAGCAGGTATGCAGCAGCAGCAGCAGCAACAGCAGCAGCAGCAACACCAATAATTATAATAGTAATAGTAATAATGTGAATGGAGACTAGAGCAGCAGCAGCTCCTGCAGCTGCTGCAGTTGCTGCTGCAGTTGCTGCTGCTCTCAACTTTGCATGCATATACGCCTGTCATTGAGATGCATTGACAACAGCTCCTGCAGCAGCAGCAGCAGCAGCAGCAACAGCAGCAGCAGCAGCAGGATTGGTGTGTCTGTATGTGTGTTTGCTGCTGCAGCCACAGTGGGGTTGGAGACACCTGGAGATGTTAGTAGTAGACGAAGCAGATCGTCTGTTAGATGAGCAGCATGCGCAGCAGCTGCAGCAGCTGCATGCAGCAGCAGCAGCAGCAAGACAGCAGCAACTGCTTCCTAGTCAGAGGAGAGAACAGCAGCGGCTGCAGACTATCTTCTTCTCTGCTACCTTATCTGGCTGCATGCAGCAGCAGCTAATTAAGGGACTATTAAGGGAGCCTGTATGTGTCCGTGTTACTGCTGCTGCTCCTGCTGCTGCTGCTGCTGCTGCTGTTGCTGCAACAGCAGCAACAGCAGCAGCAGGTATCAAGAGCGAAGGAGATAAGGGACAAAGTGTCTCCTCCCCTCCTGCTGCTGCTCCTGCTGCTGCTGCTGCTGCTGCTCCTGCTGCAGTGCAGCACACTGTCCCCTCTACTCTTCTTAATTCTGTCCTTCTCTTAGATTATAAGGAAAAATTACCTTTCCTTATACAATTCATAAAGTCAGTATTCCCTGCTGCTGGTGCTGCTGCTGCTGCTGCTGCTGCTGCTGCTGCTGGTGCTACTGGTGCTGGTGCTGCTGCTCGTACCGTTGCTGTTGCTGCTGCTGCTTCGCTGGATACGTTGCTGCGGCGTTTGCTGCTGCTTGTAAGCAGGTGTCTTTGCTGCAGCCTATGCTGCTCATCCCTTATCATCCCTGGACATGAATCTGCTGCTGCTGTTGTTGCTGCTGCTGCTGTTGTTGCTGCTGTTGCTGCTGCTGCTGCAGGCGGGTAGTAATTCCCCAAGGAAAGAGATGTATTGTATTTTGTTTAACATGCCAATGCGTGGAGTATTACTTCGCGCTGCTGCAGGCGCACTTTGATGCAGCAGCAGCAGCAGCAGCAGCAACAACAACAGCAGCAGGGACAGGTGAGGAGACACCTGGCAAGGGACAAGGAGACAGCAGCAACAAAGGAAGAGGAAGAGGATGGGGGGGACTAATAGAGAAGGTACACGGGCGTATGAAGCAGCGAGCCCGCAGTGCAGCACTCAGCAGATTCTGCAGCAGCAACAGCAACAACAACAGCAGCAGCAACAACAACAGCAGCAGCAGCAAGAGGAAGGGGGCATTGGTGCTGCTGGCTACGGATGTTGCTGCTAGAGGTTTAGATTTCCCTGATGTTAATTGGATCATACAGCTAGACCCACCACAGGTACACTCCCTCTGCTGCTGCTGCTGCTGCTGCTGTTGCTGTTTGCTGCTGCTGCTGTTGCTGTTTGCTGCTGCTGCTGTTAGTGCAGCATGTGTTGCTGCTGTTATTACAGCTTATGCTGCTGTTGCTGCTGCAGCAGTACATGCTGCTACGGCTACTGCTGCTCTGCTGCTGCTGCAGAACCCTGAGGTGTTCGTACACCGTATAGGGCGTACAGCTCGTGCTGGGCGCAGCGGCGCTGCGCTGCTGCTGCTGCTGCCGCACGAAGACGCCTATGAGAACTTCTTAAGGAATAGAGGGGTACATCTGTCTCCTTTTGAGGAGACAGTAGAGGGGCAGGTGCTGCAGCAGGCAGCAACAGCAGCAACAGCAGCAACAGCAGCAGCAGCAGCAGCAGCAGATACACCAGAGGAGCAGCAAGAGAAGGCTAGCCCTTTTATTGCTAAGACAGAGACAAACGCCATTAATGACGCACTACAAGAAGCTGTCCAAGAGGTAAGCCCTAAACCCTAAACCCTAAACCCTAAACCCTTAGTCCTAAACCCTACCGAGCCTAAGACTGTAAATCCTACTAAACCCTAAACCCTACTCTACCCTAATAAACCCTAAACCCTAGTCTTGTGTTTCCTTAATCAGGACCAAGCCCTAATACAAAAGGGTTCGCGGGCTTTTGTCTCCTTTATTCGTGCCTATAAGGAACATCAGCTCTCTTTCCTTCTTCCTTTTGCGGTGGGTCTTTCTTAGCGGTAGCAGCAGCAACAGCAGCAGCAACAGCAGCAGCAGGATACGACACCTGCATATTACGTGCCTTTGGTGTTGTCCGCATATTGTGTGTTATTCGGTGGGGTTGTTTGGACATCTTGTATCTCCTGCTGCTGCTGCTGCTGCTGCTGCTGCTGTTGCTGCTGCAGGAGCTGAACCTTGGCCGTTTAGGGACAGCGTTGCGGCTGCTGCGGCTGCCGCGCATGCGCGAGGTGGTGGGTAAGAGTCTTAAGGATTTTAAACAAAGCCCCATTGATCCTGCATGCGTTCCTTATAAACATGATGCAGCAAGAGAGCAGCAGCGGCAGCAGCAACTGCAGCAAATCCATGAGAAAAGGGCGCAGCAGCAACTAGAGAAAGAAAAAAGAAAGAAAAAAGAAGAAAAAAAACAAAACCCTAATGGACCCAACAAACAAAAAAGAACAACTAGCGAGAAAAGACAAGCTAAAAGGTACCTATTGCTGCTGCTGCTGCTGCCGCTGCTGTTGCTGTTGCTGCTGTTGCTGCTGCACCTTTTGCATGCAATGCCTAAAGGAGACAAACAGTGCCACCGGGCCCCACAGCAGCAAATATATCCCCATCTATACACTTATAAAAACCTTAATATTTTTTGTCTTTATGCACTGTCTGCATGCATCCATGCCTACCTCTCGTGGACGCATGCATGCATGCAGCGTGTTATAGGGTATACATGAGGCTGTTGTTTGTTTGTTGCTCTTAGGAGGAATGCGATAGATGAATGGAGGGAACTCGCCTTTGAAGGTAACTCTTACTGTCCCTAAATTGTCTCTAAATGCATGCATGCATGCATGCATGCCTGCACGCATGCATGCAAAGCCCCATTCTTTTTGCTGTTGCATGCAGAACGAATGGCGCGCAAACTACGAAGAGGAAAAATTACAGAAGAGGCATACGATAAACTTATTGAAAGTACGTAGGCCATGCATGCATGCATGCATGCATGCATGTGTGCAAGTGTCTCCTTTTGTATGCATGCAGGTGCATGCATGCATGCATGCATGCAAAATGTGTGGGGTGATTGCTGCTGCAGAGGGGCCCCAAGAGGACAATCCTCAAGGAGACAGCGACCTCTCCTCTTCGGACTTTGATAGTGATGACAGCGACAGCGATGGAGCAGCAAGCAGCAGCAGCAGCAGCAAGAAGCAGCAGCAGCAGCAGCATAAGTTTGGGGGCCCTGGGGGCCTTAAAACTGCCGGCAAAAGGAAACCCGCATGGGCACGAAAGGGTAAACACAAGAAAAAGAGGAAACACTGAACACAACACCAAACAAACATTGCATGCATGCATGCAATTATGCATGCATGCATGCATAAATGCATGCACTCTGCATGCATGCATGCGTGCATGCAAGGCGAAGAAAACGCCAATATGTCAATGGGTGCATAGTAGCGTTTGAGCCTTCAGGGCATAAAACCCTCTCTTAGAGGGGCCCCCTCCTAGGGGCCCCTAGGGGGCCCCTAGGGGGCCACCCCGGGGGCCCCCAAGAGGTAAAAGGGGTCGTCCCTTTAGTAAGGCCTTAGACTACCGTGATAGGACCCTTTTATTAAACCCTTATATTAGGTTCTAGGGTTTAGGGTTTAGGGTTTGGTGTTGCTTGGTAACATTTGCATAATTAAGAGGAATAAAGGGAAGGAAAAAAAGGGTATTATTAAGAAAAAAGAAAGGAAGAAAAAAGGGTACTATTAATACATATCCCCTAGACAGCAGCATACAAATAGCGCATGCAAAGGGGCATAAACTAAACAGAAAACAACGAAACAAAGGGGCCCCAACAGGTGGGCCCCCTCTCCCCTTCCCTCCCCTTTAGGCTGAGATATATTTCCTCTTTTGCTGCCCTTTGCTTTTTTATCACAAGCCCACGGGGTGTATAGGCAGGTGTTATTATTACTTACATATACAAGGGCCCCCCTATAACAGTGCAATACACACTACACAACAGGAAGAATCCTCCCCGCCAAGCTGCGACGGGGGACCCCCTAGGGGCCCCTATGCAGGGGCCCACCTTGGGGGACCCTCTGGGGCCCAACATAGGCAGGGCCCCCAGTACTGGGTTGTACGTAGAGCTGTTGCCTCTTAACGAAGGGATCGTTAGCTGTGCATATTATATTTAAGGGTTTACCGTTAATTTAATGAGTATTTATTTATATTAAAGATTATAAAAAGAAAAAATAATAAATAAAAAGGATAATTTATATTATTGTACTGGGGTGTACATGCAGGTACGTGTTACATAGAGGGAAGGAGGAGTTCTTATTATAAGTGTTGCTGCGGTGTATGTACAGCTGTGCATGCAAGATGCAGCATGATGTGTGGCTGTTTGCTGCCTACTAAGGAGTTATTTTAATCATTAAATACTTTTTAATATATATTTATTAATTATTAATAACTTAATAATTATAAATAACTTTATACTTAGTCAAGGAGGGGCCCCAGGGTTGTGTGCATACTCTCTAGCCAGAGGGAGCCCCCCTCCTAGGTTCTTTTCTTTGTGTTTCTTTTCTTCTTTATTTCCTTCCTTTTGTTTTATTTATTCATTATACACTTATTTAAGCACTTCAACCACTCATACTCCCTCCAGCAGCAGCAGCAGCAACTCTGCTGCTGCTGCTGCGTTGGCGTGTGTACCAGCTGCAGACGGTTGAAGGGGCCCTTGGGGGGCCCCTGTAGCTCTCCTCCTTTTTAAGGGCACCAGGGGCCCCCGGGACCCTCATTAATACTCATTAGTGTGTGCCTTGTGGGGCCCTTGCATGCCCTTTGGGCCCCAAACTAGACTTTAGCTGTTTCCTGCTGCTTACTGGTGCTGCTGTTGTTGTTGCTGCTGCTGCAGCAGCAGCTTGCTAAGGGTATTTTTGGGATGCTGGGATGCAGCCAACGGCCCCACAGTCGGGGGCAGGGCCCCCCGTTTCCCCACGCTGCTGCAGCAGCAGCAACAACAGCAACAGCAGCAGCAGCAGCAGCAGCAGCGGCACCAGTTGGTGCCCTGTTCCTACATTGGCCATACATGCCTACAGCAGCACAACACCAATCAGCAGCAGCCCTCGTCATGATCTAAACAAGTAAGAAGGAGGCATTTTTCTCCCTTTTATACAACAGGGTCCCCCTAATCAGTGTACTGGGGGCCCCTTAGCACCACCTGGGGCCCCCTGCCTTCAGCTAGAGGGAGAGGTACCAGCAGCATCAGGGGGCCCTCATCACTTCAGAGGGGGCCCCTCTGGTCTCCCTCATTATCTTACTGCAGCACAAACCACTAAGGGACCCCAAGGGGGCCCCCAGCACCTCACAGTACCCTCCGTGCTCCTACCTCATACATTCTCTATTGCTGCTGCTGCTGCTGCTGCTGCTGTTTGTGCTGCTGCAGTATCGACGGCAATGCATTGTTGCTGCTGCTCAATCAGTTACACCGCCGGCTTGAAAGGGGCCCCCAATTGGAGATGGGGCCCCCCAGGGGCCCCTCGGGGGCCCCCTCTGCCTCCAATGAGCAGGAGGAAAACGAGGGTCCAAACGTGCATGTATCCAGCAGCAGCAACAACAACAACAGCAGCAGCAACGGCAGCAGCAGCAGCAACAGCAACAGCAGCAGCAGAGATATGCTGCTGCAGCTACTTGCTGATGAGATAATGCCGCAATTCTTTGCGCATGCATCAATGCAGCATTTAGTCTCCTTGCTGCAGCAACACCAACATAACCCTGAGGCCCTCACCCAGGTAGGTGTGGGGCCCCGCACCTATATGTACCCTTTGGTTTGCTGCTTGGGGGGCCCCATTGCCTGCTGGAGTGTATACTGACACCGCAGCTGCCTCGAGCTTTCTGCTGAGGTGTATAGCCACCTCTTAAAGGGGGACCTCAGCAGCACAGTACCAGTACCCTTTTAGGGGCCCCCCTCAGGGGCCCTCTATTTAATTCTTTCTTTTGTGTATTTGTTTGTCTTAATAGGCCCTTCAAGAGGAAATATACAATTGGGGAAAACAAGAGGGGCCCCCTCTATCTACCTCGGGGGGCCCCCAATCACAAAAGGGGCCCCCAGGGTCTTCAAGAGGTTGGCGTTTGTCTCCTCGGCCTTTTCCGGGGGCCCCGGATGGGTCGCCGTTTAGAGGATTGGGTCAGGGGCCCCCCTCTGATGGGGGCCTCCCCCGTCTTAGTGCCAATTGGTCCCCTCCATTAAGCCCAAGGAGACCTAGGGGCCCCTGTGCCTCCAAAGAGGGGCCCCCAGCACTCCCTGCATGCACTCAGTTAACAGATACCCCTCATGATGAGTTCGTCACCCCTGTTGGGGCCCCCGAGGAAGCTGTTACGGAGGGGGCCCCCCTTGGGGCCCTAGAGGGAGGGTCCATTGAAGGGGGCCCCCTACTTGAAGGGGCCCCCAATGGGAGTCCTTTATCTTTGCTGCATAGCAAAGAGACGAATGGGGCCCCCTACCAGTACCCTGCCCTGTTAAGTGAGTCTGATGGGGAGACACCAGCAGCAAGGGGGCCCCCGTCATGGTCTGCTGAGGGTAGCAGCAGCAAAGAAATAAAAGAAAGAGAGAGGGAGGCACCTTTCTCTTTACACGGGGAAGGGCCCCAATGGGGGGCCCCCATTGAACATAAGGGGGCCCCCATTGGGGTGTCAGAAGAAGGGAGATCTGTACTGACAGCTCTTCGTCGCGCCAGGTACATTTCCCTTTTATAATGCCCCTAGGGTTTAGGGTTTAGGGTTTAGGGTTTAGGGTTTGGGTGTACGCATAGAGGGTTTATGCTGTGCAGTGCATGGCGGCTCGTTTGCATGCTGAGCTTGTCCCTCTTCGTTGGTAGCTAGGGTTTAGGGTTTAGGGTTTAGGGTTTATTGTTATTATTTATAGGGAGGAGCGTAGCCTACGTGCCCCTATAAGAATAGATGAGGAGACAGAGGAGGCACTTGCTGATGCATTTAGAGACACACAAGAAGGGATGTCTCTTGATGAGTTCCGTCATAAAATTGTTGGGCCCCTACTAGGCTTGGGCCCCTTCTTGGCGGGTAAGCAGCAGCAGCAGCGGCAGCAGCAGCGGCAGCAGCAGCAGCAGCAGCAGCAGCAGCAGCAGCAGCAGCAGCAGCAGGAAAGCAGCAGCAACACAGCAGTAATTCTTCCTGTCTAGACGAAAATCCAGCTGTTACATCATGTTTAGGGTTTAGGGTTTAGGGTTTAGGGTTTAGGGTTTGGTGTGTTGGTGTTTAGGGCCCCTGTTCCGTCGTATAGACACTGATGATTCAGGCGTTGTTACTCTCCCTAAGCTAAAGAGGTAAATTGCATGCATGCATGCAGTAGTAACAGGTTTATGGAGCTGCTGCTGCAGCTGCTGTTGCAGCTGCTGCTGCAGCTGCTGCTGTTGCTGCACTTATTGGGGTGTATCTGCAGCTATTGGAGAGGCCGCTTTGTTCTTAAGACAAAAGATCCTTCTCTTAATGATCGTGTTGCTCTTCCTCCTCTTCCTACGTATGGGGGCCCCCTTACGGAGATACAGGAGGGCCCCGAGGGTACGGTGGGGGCCCCCGAGGGCACTGAAGGGGGCCCCGAGGGTACTGGGGACTCAGAGGCCTCTAGTGGCCCCGAGGGTACCGGGACCCCGAGGACTCCGAGGGGCCCCGCCGGGGCCCCTGTCCTCAGCAGGGGCAGCATCATAAACTTTATGGGGGCTATAGCCACCAGAGGACACCGCATATACCCTGAAGACCTCAGGCCGTGGGTGCTTGGTGAGTAGCACGCAGCAGCAGCAGCAGCAGCAGCAGTAGGAGGAAACCCTAAATGAGGGTTTAGGGTTTAGGGTTTAGGGTTTTTTTTGTTCCTGTTTGTATGCAGAAGTAACACACTGTGCGCCTGACATGGCCTTCTTGTTAGATCCGCAGTCCGAGGAGTACTTAGAAAAGTATGGTAAGTGGTAGGGTTTAGGGTTTAGGGTTTATGGTTTAGGGTTTATGTTGTAGGGTTTAGGGTTTAGGGTTTAGGGTTTAGGGTTTAGGGTTTGTTGCTCTGTGCCACAGTTGATTCGGTTATTGCGCGTATTATGTTCTATGTTGACGAAGACTCTAAGGGATGGCTCTCAATGCGGGTAAGGACTAGGGTTTAGGGTTTAGGGTTTAGGGTTTAGAGTTAGAGGGTTTACAGCCTATGTCTGT